ACCGGCCCCTAGCTTCACGGGTCCCTTCTGTCTTGTACCACGGTCGCACATCTTGGGGATAGGCACGGAGCTCGCTCTGCCTTCCCCAATCCCGTCGCACATCTTGAGGACAGGCACGGAGCTCGCACTGCCTTCCCCAATCCTGTCTCACATGTTGGGGGCATCGCCTTCCCCAATCTTGCCGATGGATCTTGGGATTCCGTCATTGCCCCTGTGGGACACACATGGGGCTCCCATCAGCGCCACCGCCCGCATTGCCACCGATGACCAACACCTTAACTGGGCGCTCGGGGCTCCCATCGCTGCTGCTGGCCAGCTTCGCACCTCGATGCGTGGAGCGCCTAACCCGCTGGATCTAGCTCCCATGGGTGCGGAAAGGGCGGCGTCGAGATCTAGCCATCCTTGTTGACGCGCGAGGCCTAAGGATGGAGAAGGGGAAGAGGGAGATGCAACGAAAGATGGAGAAGGCGGTGCGGTCAAGCGAGCTGAGGGAGATGCGGTGGAAGATTGCGGGAGGCGGCGCGGTCAATGGAGTTGCGGGCGGTGGAGGAGAGTCGAGTGGATGAGGATGACATGCGAGCTGTAGAACGTGTGGTGGTGAGGAAAGCGCTGTGGAAGGAGATTTTTTTGGATGGTGGGACCAAGAGACACGGACGACAGCTACTCGGGTCACATTCATAGACCTGTCACCCCTTCATTTGTATTCTTTCACGATAACGCTCCCACCCTCCATTTGCATTCTTTCACGGACGGAGGAAGAACTACTTTTGAAATTTTACTTCCATCCGCACACGTCAACAAGCTTGAAAAGGTAAAAGTACGAATGTTCACCGTGCTACTATTTATTACTCAATTAATTGAAAAGCACGCTAGAGCTCAGCACTTGAGCAGCTGACTGCCAAATTAAGACCATGTGGCAGGTTCTGTCCCCCCTGTTTTTCTTGTTAAGATAAGAATCATAAAAAACTCTACAAAAATCATCGAAATCAGACTAAAAACTAATCCATCATTATTGGGTGCTTAGTCCTTAGGCCCTTTTTGTTTAAGCTTTTCTGAGTCTCGCTTATAAGTTGAGCAGGCTTATGGAGAATCTGCTGTCTGAATAAGCTGGGCGTTTGGCTGTCCTGATTATTTCTGGTACATTATCTGTCCTGGATGTAAATTGACCTATGTACCCCTGAGGCTGATGATACCTCTTTTGGTTTGTCACAATGATCTGAAGGCAATGGTGGGAATATTTTTAAAGTTTGAGATAGCAATATGGTTCTATTAAGTTGCAATGTATAATAATAGTAAAAAATAACATCCATTTGGGTAATGTAATTGCTACAAAATACTCAAGTTTCTAACAATGAATCACCCAACCAACGCATTAGCAATAGCATCACGGAAAGCACCCATATCCATACCATCCGCCGAACCACTACCATCAGCTAAAGGAACTTGGGACCCAACACCACTACTGTCTTCCACATAGGTTTCAAAATGTTCATCATTTATGGCATTGTTTCTAATGAAATTATGAAGAGCCATGCAAGCAACGATAATCTTTGATTGCTTCTCAATTGGATAGCTAGGTAACTGCAAGAGAATGCGCCACTTTATCTTGAGAACTCCAAATGACCGCTCAATCACATTTCGGAGGGATGCATGAGCATAGTTGAACACCTCCTTCGATCCCACTGCATGACGACCATGTTGCCATTCGGGCACATGATACCTTTGTCCCTTGTAAGGTGCTAGATATCCTTTTCTATTAGGATACCCAGAATCAACAAGGTAATACTTTCCTTCAGGTGGATGTGAAAATTTATCCTTGTAGGTGACTAAAGTATCCAAAAATACCCGAGTGTCATGAGCAGATCCAGCCCAACCCGTGACTACAAATGTGAACCGCATATCGAAGTCACAAACCGCCATGACATTTTGTGAAGCATAACCATGTCGTCCAATGTATTTTGCCTATTCACTTTTTGGTACAGTTACAGGTATGTGTGTACCATCAATGGCGCCTATGCAATCGTTGAAATGAGGCTAGAGCCTAGCTTGCTGCAGTTTTGGATGAACTGTACCAAAGTGTGGATCCTTAGGTTTTATGATGTCAATAGACAATCTACAAATTGAGTCAAGTACCTCATTAAACTTTCTACTGATAGTTTCTAATGAATGATGAAACTTATTTGTGACTTGTCTAGACGATTGAGGTGCACCACGTGTCCACAAAAACATGCCTAAGGCTTTCTTGGTACAAATATCACTAGTTGATCTCAAGCCATAATTCTGAATCAAAGTCCGATGGAGGCGATGGAACACTGACCTTGTCATTCTAAACATGTTGTAGCACTGGACTCTATCATTTAGTTGGATTTCAACCCACTGTATCCCTGTCATGACTGGTACATCCGGAACCACCTCCTTGTTCTTTGCAACACTGCTAGTTGAGCCCATCAATTCCAATGCAATATATGCAACCATGAAATCCTCATCAGTACCTGATTCATCCTGAATTGCATCCTCATCACTGGAGATGCTCATATTGATTTCAGCACCTAAAATAGGTACACATTATGAAGCATGAGCAAAGGAACAAAGAAAGCATATACATGAAATAATTATTCGCACAAGCAAAGTCATAACATAAATCATCAAATAATGTGCCCATTACATAAAACATCAAATAATGTCTGGAATTGAACAATTTATTTTACTACATAACAACACTAATTTTTCTGGTCCTCCCATGCCCGCCTCAGCCAATTAAGCCTCCCATTCGGTGTCTTCAAAGTAATGAACTCATCACGGTTTTCCTTTTTCTTAAGAAATTGGGTGGCATAGTAGTGTTCATCACTCCCTTCTTCAGCACCATCGTTAATGACTTGCTCAAACATAGCCCCAATCTCATCTCTAACATGATCAACCGCATGAGAAGTTGCTGAATTTTTACTACTTTGGGCCTTCTTCTCATATGTGTCGACCAACCTCTTCATAAGTTGATCTCTATATGTCTTCTTTTTCTTTCCAGAGGGGGAACCTTGAGCTGGCCTTTTGTTAGCATTTGGTGTGACATGTGGTGAACCTCTCCCTTCGACTCTCTCACTATCACCATCACCATGACCAGCCTCATGCTCCTCACCCTCTCCATCATCATGACCACTTCCAGGAACATAGGATGTCTCATTAGTCACGCTAATAGCATCAAACATTATCCGCATCATGTCCTCGTGCTCAAGAACTGCAGATTTGAAACTTATACATCCTGGCATAGCCTGAAACATTAAATGATAACAATTAGAGGATGACATGCCGATGAGTACTAAAATACAAAAGATGACGTCTCAACTACTCACCGCATTTTGTTCTGCCCACCATTCATCACTGGCAGAAATACATCCGGTCACAGGATCCCTTCCCAACCCAGTGGCTCTCATGTTCAAGGTCTTCCACTGTGCATGTTTCTTTTTCAGTACATCCCATCTGTTCTTCGTTTGCTCTTTGTCATATGGCCTCTTTGTTCGCTCAAAGAACTTCTTCACCAAATTAGCATAACCCACACTATTCAAGCAATTGTATGGCCTGTTATGGGCAAGCACTTCTTCTACGCATATTTCATTGAAAACTTTGGCGACAAAAGGATCCCATTTTGCTTGAGGTTTTGCTGCTTTTTCCATCTATAAAGTGCGACAAATCTGAATTTCTAGCAACACTACTGCCTAATTGCGCTATGAGGTAGAAAAAAATGACATGCCCTGCAACTACCAGAAGAGCTTGCGTGCTCACCTTGCTGGACGGCAGCCGGTGGTGGCGATGGGAGGGCAGCAGGCGGTGGAGGTCGTCGAGGTCGGAGATCCGGAGCCCTTGCTACAGAAACGTCGGAGGGGAGGGAAGGGAAGCCGGCGCCTTGCTGGACCTCCGGCGGAAGGGAGGGGAGGGGAGCCGGCGCCCTTGCTGTAGATCCGAAGGAGGGGAGGGGAGGGCCGCCGGCGCCTTGGCTGGAGCACCGGCGGAGGGGGAGGGGAGGGCCGGCGTTGGGGAATGGGAGGCGGTGGCGGAGAGGTAGGCGGCCCCGGGGAGGGAGCGAACGGGAGAGGCCGAGCTCGGGAGGATGGTGTCGGGCACGGGCACGGGACCGCTCGGGTCGGGAGAGAGGGGCAGGGAGAGGAAAAGTGTTCGTGATTTCGGAAACGCGGGGTAAGGCTCACGATTTCGGATATGTTGCAGGCGACCTGAGATCGCAGGAGTGCGTTCGCGACCAGGCCCTGATCGTAGGGCGTTTGTGCAGGATTATTTGTTTATTGGGCTCAGAAGCTAAGCAAACACTGCCCCAAACAGGGCCTTAGTCGCCATCGATGCCAGGAACGAAAGAATGATAATCTTCAGGCGTTTGAAAGCTGTAATAAGCACCTTGGCTAGGCTTGAGTCTGCACTTTGTTCTAGCGTCAATGCCAAAAACTTATATGAACTCGAATGTTTGTTTGCTTTTTGAAATACAAAAGCATGAGTGACCTTTTGTCTTAAAAACTGATCTATCGTTGTTGTTGTTTTTATCTAGAAGCAAGAATCAACAGGATCCTACTGTAGCTTCTAGTTTTCTAAGGAACGTTTTTTGATATACTAGAAACATCGGGCTGTTCGGCTGATGGTTTTTAAGGCTGATAAGTCTGCTGATGCTGTTTTGTTATGGGAGAAAAACGTTATATCATGCCTGATAAGGCGAGCTGATAAGTTCTAAGTGAACAGTGATAAACAACTGAAACCTGGGTTAGTGGGAAAAGGGAGCAACAACAACTGTCCCTTTTTTAATTACTAAGTACCTCTGCCATTTTTGCAACTGGTCTTCTATAAATAGGGACGGGGTGGCGTCCAAGACACATTCGAGGCGACAGACATCGTCGTCCCAGCACATAGCCACAGACTCTCTCCCCGGCCACCTCTCGCTCACGGTCACGAGCACCCCAACTCAGAGCTAGCTGCAGCAGCGCTCTTCCTGGCAGGGCCTGGGCATGGGTGCTCCGCTGGCCTCCTGGCCATGGGCAAGCCTCGGCTCCTACAAGGCAAGCAAGCACTGCCTGTCTGATTCATCCGCTGCACCCGCCATTGCTGTTAGCTTGACGCTAGCTATCTCTTGCTCATCATCATCGGTACACGACGTACGCAGCAGATTACTGATCTTTGTTTTTGCTTGTTTGTTTCGACCGATGTATGTGCGCAGTACCTGCTGTACGGGCCTCTGGTGGCGCAGGCGTGGAGGGAGACGGGGAGCCTGCCGCTGGGCTCGTCGTGGTGCCTCCACCTGCTGCTCCTCTTGGCACTCCGCTCGCTCACCTTCCAGCTCTGGTTCTCCTACGGCAACATGCTCTTCTTCACCCGCCGCCGCCGCGTCGTCAAGGACGAAGTCGACTTCCGCCAGATCCACGCCGAGTGGGACTGGTAAGCATATGCATATGTGCAGCAATCTACGACGTGCTTTTCCGCTTGCTGCCGGCCGGCTTCCGGCATGCCAGCTGCTTATGGGTCATGGCCCTGCTGCCCCTGACCGAGCTCGCTAGACAGAGCTCCTGCTAATTAACGTTCCCACAAAAAAAATCACCTGAAAGTTTTGTTTTCCAGATTAAGACGCTTGAAAGTTGAATCTCACGTTTATCTGGAGCACGGTTGCACATACAAGAATTATATTGATTTTACTGAGAACATGACGTATTGACATGGCTGTAGATTCAAATCGGAATGATGTAAAGTACTACGCAGTACAATCATAGAGTTTAGTTCATGTCCTTTTCGTCTTTTGATTTTTGGGCGCTGCACCGGGCAGAACAGAAATAGTAAGAAATTAGTGCTAGTGCTAGTACCGGTGCACGGGGATCGGGAGGATCAGGGCGTCCATATATGGCGTGTGACTGGTGCACCCGCCTGCTCACAACTGTGACTGGGGCCGGGCTCCGGCTTGGGCGCATCATTCACGCCGGGGCAGTAAACAACTCTTTTCAATCCTCATCAGCTGCTTGCTTTGCTTTGCTCATCTATACCATATAAATAAACTATACAACATGATGATCACATGAGGAGTCGAGTATGTACACACGGGTCGTCCTTACGTACGTAGGCAGATTCGTAGAGCAACGAGAACCTGTGTTGTTTTCCATTTCCGCGGTGCATGATTGCATGTATACGCTAGCTGGGCCGACCTACATACGTAGCTATAGCTTCTTCCCCTGTGAATCTGTGATGTCTGTGTCTGTCTGTCGTAGTGCGAAGTGTCGTGTACCACTACTCGATCGTGTGTGTAGACACTACTTGCATAGTGGCAGCACACTAATAGCTAGTGATGATCACTAATAGCAGTACTAAAACCGGTCACAGGACCAATGACCATGAGCCAGTCAGCCAGAGAGCCAGAGGAGACGAGATGCATGATGTTGCCAACCTTCCTCCCAACCATGCACCCGCCAATTTATGGGTTGCTCTAGCTAGCTTACTCCAGTAATCAATACTGCGAGCTACTACTCGTCCCAAACAGCCGAACCTCTCAGATATATGCGTGCCTGCATTAGACCAGTGCACGCACGCACGCATGCACTTAATTTCCTTGCGTGTGCGCGCGCGAACCTGGCAAGCTAGCTAGCTCTTTGTATATATGAACGCGCAGCGCGCACGCATCTTGCAAGCTAAAACAATCGTGTTGTTAGTTGTTACGTACTACATGCCACTAACTTAAAAGTTACTGTGTACTGCTAGTGTTACGAGACTTGAGGATGGGGACATGTAGACATCTAGTACTCCTACTATCTATGCATGCATGGCTAACCACCAGGATAATCAAACATAAGCCACTAATTGAGTACTCCTACGTACGTCCAGATCTCGTCAGATCGGATCCTACGTACCACCAGGATGAGAATGTTCCTGTTCGTCTCCCTGCACACCTACACTCGCAATCCCAAATGCATGTCATATATATTATATATAGGTTAAAGTCTAATTTACACCCTCCAATTTTCATCAAAGTCCGGATTTCAACCTCGAACTTCAAAACCGGACAACTTTGGCCCTCCAACTCTTGAAAAAGTTCAACTTTCAGCCTTACAGGCGACTTTTTGTGGAGTAAGCAGTAACTTTTGATATTTTTCGAGAGGCGCTGAAATTTTTATATTATTTTTTGAGCATCTTCTGCGTCCTCAAATGAAAAAACTACAAAAAAACTTCAAAGTTATAGATGAGAGTCTCAATTTCATAAATATAAAAAATCTTCAATACAACATGGAGTTGAAGGATTTTTTTATATTTAAATTGTAGTCTCATCAAATGAGATCTAAAACTTTATAGTTTTAATTTTTTTCATTTTAGGACATCTTAAGATGCTCAAATGAAAATAATATAAAATTTCAGCATCATATTTTATTTCATCGATGATGAGACTCAAATTTAAAAAATAGAAAACCCTTCGATACGATATGTCGGATGAAGATAATTTTATATGTAAATTGTAGACCTCGATGAGATCTACAACTTTGTAGTTTTGAGTTTTTTCATTTGAGGATGTTAAGATACTCGAAAAAATAATATAAAATTTCGACGACACCCAAAAATATCAAAAGTTACTGTTTATCCGCAAAACCGCCCAAAAGTTGAAAGTTGAACTTTTTTAAGAGTTGGAGGGTCCGGTTTTAAAGTCCAAGGTTGAAATCTGGACTTTGATGAAAATTGAAGGGTGTAAATTGGACTTTACCCTTATATATATACTCCACGGTCCACCCCTCACTCACAGTACGTCAAAGACTACACACATCGAGCAGGACACCGTGCGCGGGGCCCACGTAAAACTGCACCGGATCGGTCGCACAGATGATGACCAGCAGCAGCAGCCACCAGCCATCAAGGCTCCCGGCAACGACAGTGCCGTACGCATGTGCCGCCGGCCGCGGCGCCGGTGCTGGCATTACTGTCCGTGCCGCCTATGCTATACGGCACATGTCCCTCTTGATTGCTGCTGGAGCCTAGCTGCAGGCAGGCAGGCAGGGCCGGCGAGCCGCGGGCCGGTTGCCGGCCATGTGCATGAGGGTGCGGCCGTAGCCGGCTGGCTCGCCTTTACGGCGGTGCCGCCGACCGCCGACCGGGCGTGTTCGTACGGGCACCACGAGTGCCGCGCGGGCAGGGCAGGCCCAAACGGGGTCGGCATCATTAGCAACCCATGTCTGGGCAATCAATGATCCTCGTACAGCACCGGGAGGAGATCGAGGGGTTACCACTGGTCCTTCTGACTTGTCCTTCACATTGTTGCGCAAAATAAAAATCCAAAAAAGATATGCGTGAGAACAAGGGACATTCAGCATAAACGGATAATTGCATTCCCCTCAAAAAAAAAACGCATGATTGCATTGCATTCATGTATTGGCTGGGCAACGGTCTTGCATGCCGCAACCGCTGTAAATTTGACAACTTTTTTTGTGTTATTAGTGTTAGCTGGCTGATCAATAGCCGCCCTTTTGTGTTGTGGTGATTAACTTGCAGGTATTTAAGCCTGCACCACAGGGAGAAGGACTGCAATTTCTGCCTGTTTATGCCTCTGTACGACGCCCTTGGAGGGACCATCAACTCCATATCGTGGGAGCTTCAGAAACAGGTCGACCAAGGTACTACTCCAGATTTGGTGCTAGTTGATGTCTTGATCGATGATGCTGCTACTCATCATGCATGCATGGGATCATCTAGTAATTCACCATTATTGATTAATTTGAAAATCGATTTCACTGGTAGCAGTAATTCATAATGAAGAAACAAAAAAACTGATGACTGGTTGCTTGCGAATATTAGGCATGAACGACCGAGTGCCGGACTTCGTGTTCCTGGCGCACGTGGTGGACGTGGTGTCGTCGATGCACGTGCCGTTCGCGTTCCGGTCCTGCAGCTCGCTGCCGTGGGCCACGCACCCGGTGCTGCTCCCGCTCTGGCCCGTCGCCTTCGGCTTCATGCTCCTCCAGTGGTTCTTCTCCAAGACCTTCACCGTCAGCTTCTACTTCCTCCGCGGCCGGCTCCACCATACGTGGAGCGTCCCCAGATATGGCTTCCAGGTCACCCACCACCAGTCCTAACTGATTGAATCCGATCGAACCTATACACGTCCTGCTGTGTTGATGACCGGGAAACAGATTGCATAAGCGTCTCTCTTGTTGTCGCTGTCCAACTGCAGTACTTCATCCCGTCGGCGAAGAAGGGCATCAACCGCCAGATCGAGCTCGCCATCCTCAGGGCAGACAAGATGGGCGTCAAAGTCATCAGCCTTGCTGCACTGAACAAGGTCGATCGATCGTCTCCAGCATTATCATTCTCCTAGCTGTTGGTTTCAGAACAGTAATATCTGGGCATGAGCATGAACAAGCAGTGGATAAGAAAAATGGACCAGAACTAACCATCCAACACTGTATTCTTCTCCTTAATTATTTACATGCAGAACGAGGCTCTCAACGGCGGCGGCAGGCTGTTCGTGAGCAAGCACCCAAACCTGAGAGTGAGGGTGGTGCACGGCAACACCCTGACGGCGGCTGTGATCCTCAACGAGATCCCCAGCAACGTGAGGGAGATGTTCCTCACCGGCGCCACGTCTAAGCTCGGCAGGGCCATCGCGCTCTACCTCTGCAGGAAGAAGATCAGGGTCTTGGTACGTGCGTGCCCATCTGAAAACACGTAACTAGTAGCATGCAATTAACGACTGAACTTGGATTATAAATTTATAATTCATAATAATGCTGCTCTGAAACCAAAACAAATAAGTAACAAAGATGGAATGCCCTGTGTTTCAGATACTGACGCTTTCGACGGAGAGGTTCCTGAAGATCCAGAGGGAGGCGCCGTCAGAGTTCCAGCAGTTCCTCGTGCAGGTCACCAAGTATCAGGCGGCGCAGGGCTGCAAGGTACGTAGGAGTACTAGCTGAAAGCGTTCTTTCATGGCATGTGATACGTGCTGACACCGGTGCACCGTGTCTGCAATGCATGGCAGACATGGATCGTGGGCAAGTGGCTGTCGCCGCGGGAGCAGCGGTGGGCGCCGCCGGGCACGCACTTCCACCAGTTCGTGGTGCCGCCCATCATCGGCTTCCGCCGGGGCTGCACCTACGGCAAGCTCGCCGCCATGAGGCTGCCCAAGGACGTGCAGGGCCTCGGCTCCTGCGAGTACACGATGGAGCGCGGGGTGGTGCACGCGTGCCACGCCGGCGGCGTGGTGCACTGCCTGCCTGGAAGGGTGAGAGCACCACGAGGTGGGCGCCATCGACGTGGACCGAATCGACGTCGTGTGGAAGGCGGCGCTCAAGCACGGGCTCACGCCGGCGTGAGCAGCCGGAACGGGAGATGCGGCCGGCGCGCGCCGCGCCGGCCCGCCCGGAAATAACGTGTCATCTATTCGTTGTCGCGGGGCTGTTCCGACGGTGGGCGTGTCACCGTGTATTAGTAGTACCAGCTAGCTACTGTAGTGCAATGCAAGTGCAACAGAGTTGATAGGCTGGTTCGCATATACCAATACTCCTATGTACGTACAAATATAGAATACTGCAATATGGCACGAGGCATGGGTTTCCATTCCTCACGGCCAGGCCTGCGACTTGGAAGTCGAACAAAACTTGGGTCCATTTCTGACGAGGTCTTTTGGCGGTTTAGACTTCATATACCCCGTCCTGGCGGGCATGGAAAGGAAAGGATCTATGGGTGGTAGGCCAGCCTAGAGATTGTTGCAGGCATTGTGACCATAGTTGACCATGCAGCCCGAGCCCGTCGGCCCGGCCCGAGGCCCTTTTTGGCCCGGCCCAAGCCCGAAATGGCCCGGCGGCTAGCGGGCATGGGCTAGCACGGCCCGCTCTGGAACCGGCGGCCCGCCCCGCCGCCTCCCCGCGTCCCGCTCCCCGCTCGCACCCTCCCCGCGCCCCACTCCCCGCTCGCACCCACCCCCGATTCCCCGAACCCTAACTCCTTCCCTCCCTCCCCCCCCCCTCCAGCCCATTGATCCCCCCCTCCCCCAGCCACGCAAGCACTCACTCCTTGCCACCGGCATGCCTCCTCCGCCCTCCTCCGCGAACCCTCCCGCGCAACTTTGCTCCCCTGTCCTCCGCTAGCCCGAGGTGGCGCCGCCGGCTCCTTCCCTCCTCGCGGCCGCGCCTCGGGAGCGAGTGCGCCGGCCCCAGGCTCCGCACCTCGGGTGCGCTGCCGCGGCCTGCGAGGCCGCTAGATCCGGCTCAAGCTGCTGCTTGGCTGCCTCGCTTTCCCCGCCTCTCTCTCTCTCTCTCTGCCTCCTCCATGCACCGCCGTCGGCCTCGAGCGTGGCAGCCGGCTTCGGGCGACCGAATCTGGCGTCCCATTGCCTGCTCCGACGGTTGACGCTGTGGATCTGCCTCGAGGCCAGGGCGAGCGCGTCGGCGTCGACCGCCGCCACTGCGCTCCCGTGCTGCCCCTCCTGTTCTTTCCTTTCCTCTCTCTGATGCCGCCGACGCGGCCGGCGGCCCCCTCGACCTCGACGCCGTCATCACCTGCTAAAGCGGGCCTTGGGCTAGCCCGGCCTCCTTAACAGGCCGTGCTTATTGGGCTGGCCCAGCACGAAAAACAGCCCAGCAGGCCATGCCTGGGCCATCGGCCAGGCACGAAGCCTAGCTCGGCACGGCGTGCCGTGCCGACCCGAACCCCATCAGGCCGTGCTTGGCACGTGCCCATGTCGTGCCAGGCTAGGCCTGGCCCGTTGGACATCTATGGTTTGTGACTATGGGCTTGGGCGGCATGGGAGAGGTGACAATGGCTCTGCTAGTCAGGCAGCGGGGAAAGGTGGGCCTGTAGACGAGGCAAGAGCAGAGGCGTCAAGGTGATAGTCCAATGAAGTTGGGCTAGCGTGGTAGTGGCGAGTGGTGAGGAGCCATCAGAGATAGAGGAGGAGAATAGGGTAGGCACAGAGGGGCCTTGAATGAGCACAAAAAAGAGATGCCAATAGTGAGGAAGTGCTCTCGGGCTCCTCGGAGCCCCTCAAAGCCATAGGGGGAGGCAAGAGTGTTGGAGAGTTGGTAGAGAGGATGATGGTGGCACTGGCGGAGCTTTATTATGACCAAAGTAGGCCATGGCCACCCCTGCTAATGGCCCACTTTGATCATAACGACAATGCTCCACCACTGGATGGTTGTGACCAAAAATGGGAAGGAGAGAGAGCGTGGAAGGACGAGAGGAAGAAAATGTGAGATCTAAGAACCCATTTGGTGCGCCTCTTTCGCATTAGCTTAGCTAACGGAGTCGGAGCACTTAAGTCAGAGCCTAAAAACCCAGCTTCGCCTTTGTATGTCTAAAATGGTCACGTCTTCTCTTGGATAGATGGAGAACATTTGGTGTGGCTACTCCGGCTCTGCTGCTAGAGCTACCGGGGAAGCCGAAGCCACAGCCGCACCAAGCCGTTGGGTAACTCAGATGAATGGTTTCGTTTCAAAAAAAATTATAATTCATTTCAAAAAAAACTCAGACTAATGGTCAAAAATATCGAGTGCATTGGCCCCATGCATGCGTGCACTTAGGAGTTAGGACAGGGCCCAGTTGTGCACTCTGCCGGACGGCCATGGTCAGATGGACCCATGCCATCGTAGCTCCTTCGCACCTCCGAGGCTCTCCCTCCTATGTGTGCTCGAGGTGAAAGGTGAGTGCGACAGGGTACTCTAGAGCTCGGCCGAGCCTTGTTGTCGGCTAGCCAGCGGGCACGGCAGAGCGCGGTGCACGGTGACAGCGCTACATAGGGGCCTAGACTACTACTAACCAGCTAGAGCAAAAGAGAGGAGGAGGGCTTGGGGACTCACCTGCTAACCCAATCGGACAATGGAGCAGCGGAGAGGGAGAAGGAGGAAGGCGGCGTCAATGGCGCCGGCGGCTCTCGATTCGGGGAAAACCAAAACAGAGGAAGAAGGAGGAGAGGAAAGGGGAGGGGAGGGGGAGATGAGGTGTTCTAGCTCAAGGCTGGGCTAGTGGGGAGGAGCGCGAGGTCGGAGCGGCAATGGCCGGGCCTATTTATAGACCGGCCATGTCATTTCCGGCGGTAAGATATTTTCTTGCGCGCTGAGCTCACCAAGGCACACACACGTGCCTATTTCCGCTACGTCGGTTCACCATAGTTAGGGCTTGCCCACGCGTGCAGCTGGGAGAGCTTGGGCTCATCCATGGCGGTACGGCGAGGTGAGCTCGCCGCCGCGTGTCGAGGGAGGAGTAGTGAGGAGAGAGAGGAGGGAGGAGAGGTGGTGTGGGGTCACGAAAAGATCTTCGCGAGCCTTGTCGCATCGCTAGGGCGAGGTGGTGGTGGCGGGGCCAGCTAGGGCTCGATATCAAGCCAGCTCGGCTCGGCTCGGTCCGGCTCGAGCCGGCTTGTTAGGCTAACGAGCCAGCTCGGCTCGGCTCGTTAATATTACGAGCTAGTGGGGCAGCTCGGCTCGGCTCATTACCGAGCTCGAGTTGGCTCGTTTAGCTCGCGAGCTACTAAAATAATATGACACCATTAATTCCAGAAGGTGATGTCTACCGTTATGCAACTATACATGATTAATACATATCAAGTTCATCAAAAGTATCAACCATGCAACATAGTTGGTCCATCCATGATCATGCAGTTCCAGCATACTAACTAGTTGCTTGCCACCACAAACTTAGGAAAGGCCCATATATTCAATGTCAGCATCGTCATCTTCTCACGGGAAAACAATCCATAAAATCAACATTTAAGTACCACAACAATTATAATATTAAAATTCATATGAAATAGCTAAAAATAAGGATTACATACCAATAGAACATGTGTATACTTCTAGGTCAGCATCATCATCTTCTGGATTCATGGTCATGGACTGATAGGCCTTAGCTCATTTGAACTCGTAAGCAGCTCGCGAGCTGGCTCGTTAAAATAGCAAGCTAGACTTCCAGCTCAACTCATGAAAAAGTTAAAACGAGTCGAGTCGAACCGAGCTGAGCCGGCCACGAGTCGAGCGAGTTAGCGAGCCACTAGTAATTTGTCTAGCCCTAGGGCCGGCTAGCTCGGGCGGCGACGCGGTATTCGCGTCGCTGGCACGAGGTAGACGACAGCCCTGACGGCCAGGTCCCACATGTCAGCGAGCGAGAGAGGGGAGAGATGAGGCGGGCGCGGCGTGGGCCGGGGCGTGGTGACGGGCCGGCCCAAGTCGCGGAGGGAAGGGAGAGGAGAGGGAGAAGGGAGTGGGCTGCTGCCGCTGCCGCTGTGGGCCAAGGGGGAGGAATGAGCCTAGTGCTCATTTTCCATTTTCCTTTCGTTTTTCTTTTTCCCAGATTTCCTATTCTATGTTTAAATGCAATTTGAATTTAAATTTGAACATGCATGTATGCAAGGTATGCCACCATATGCTCAAGCAAACAACCAAACACTCAAGCTCACATTTCTACACTATAGGGTTTTATTTCTATGTGGGCTTATTATTACTAATTACTAGGTTATTTATTTAGGTGGTTAGGTTATTATGCAAAATTTTAAAAGGTTTAAATTTTTAGTGGTTTTTAAATTAGGTCAAAATTTTAGGGTGTCACATCACGCCCGTGGTCCGTGTCTCGACGCGGGCGCCGGTAGCAAGGCGGCCAAGGAGAGGGCGGCGCGGGTGCTGTGTAGGCTCACCAAGAACTCGGACAATGCGTGGGCATGCTCGCGCGCCCATGTGGCCATGGCAGCGACTTGCTCATGCGCCCCGCAGCGGTGGCGATGGCTCCTGCTCGCGCGTCCACAACGTGTTTGACGAAATGAAAGGTCAAGAGCTGCTTTAGTTAGACAAGTCAGCATAGAAAGCCTATATAAAGAGATATGGATCTAAGTAATACGCCATATAAAATTTATAGACCTAAAAAGCTACTTTAAAAGGTGATGAACCTAACTCAAACCTCGTGACAAGTTAACGAGCCTACGGTGAATTCAACCCATAAAAAAAAATCTCGGGGGCCTAGGTGCCGATCTGGCTGTCAGGTATCTCGTGGCCGACCCCCAGGAAAATAATCAGATGCCGAACGCGTTACAGTAGTATCGTCCCTAATTCGATTGTATTGGACCGCCCGGGACTGTTTCCACGCATGCGCAGCCAGCCAAAGCAATAGACATACAGTAAAAGACAAAAATGATGACGTCAGCACATCACATACTTTTAGAAGTGAAAAAAGTCACAAATCATAAATCAAGTATCATAATTAAAATCTGGTTGCACCATCACGTTCCTTACAATAAACTCTTCAAAATAAAACCCCACATGAATATATTTCGATAAAAAAATTTAGCGAATACTTATCTCATAATAAACATATATTTAAAGATAATTATCGAACATCACATTTTGACTAATTTGTTGTGAGAGAAAAATACTATTCCGCTGAAAA